AACAAAACTTTTATAAAACTATCTGATCGTAAACTTGTAAGATCGATAGTTTGTAACACGGTCAGTAAACTGGGATAGCAAATCAACAAAACAATAATCTTTTCATTCCTGTGCTCTCGGGCGTCTCAGCAACTCACTCCGTAGTCAGAATATTTGGAGTTGTACTGAACTGGTTTCCCCCTCATATCTCAAAGACAAAAGATTTTCCATTTTTATTCAAATTCACAAATTACATGATTTCAAAATGACAACCTAAATGTGCATTGAATACTAAGGTCTTGGGTTCAAGCCCGAAAGGAACCACATACTTAATGGCGCCTCCTGTGTGGGTTGCAAAGACGCACTCTGTGAATTTTCCCATTGTAGGATAAATAAGGGAATTATTTTTTTCTTCTGAGGATCTGAGAAGCTCTATTTAGGTTTTTTTTAAAGGTGCTTAAAACACCAAGCAGACACTGCTGTTATAAAATTGTGATGTACAACATAGAGCTATTTTTGACATATTATCTTAAAAGTGATTGAGAGCACTGATGGATGTTACTGATGGAAAAGGTACATGACAAACTGTTCCTGCTACTATTTTTAGAAACCTGTTTGCATTTGTTTTAATGCACTGAGGAGCTGAGAGCAAAACATAATGAAGCGCTATGGCAAATGATAAAACCAGAGATAACGAAGTTTGCGATGTGTTCAATATATCTGGTGATAGTCGAGTGCAGTTGCCGTATGATAAAAAAAGAAGAAAAAAGTCATCTTCATGGCAGTAAATTACCAAAATGAGCTGATTGGAGAAGTGGGTGTAGGGGGAGAAGGGGGCTTCGTAAAGGCTGAGGAGGGACGGACAGAGAAGATATTAAAGTCAATGGCAAGAAGGGGAAAGGGACAGTGCTGGGGAACGGGGAGGGGCGAGCGGGGAGGCACTCATGTAATTAAATAGGCCAAGTTGAAAAGCCGCAGCTTAGCCCTCCCCTTCCTCCCAAAGTGTCCATGGCAGGTTTGTGAGTTAGTGAATACCGACGCCAACATCACTGCAGAGCTGGGTTATTAATGTGCAACACAAAGCCTCTAAAGTTTAGTGTATGCAGACATTTTTATGTACACACAGCAGCCAACCAGAAGTGAAAGATTTCCCTATTGTTATGCAGCCCATTATTCACCGGCCCATGTCAACCTGCTGACGAGCCCTGCAGCAGGTTCTTGACTTTGAATCGCAGCTGGTCTACAGTGGTGTCACAGTACCGTTCAGATAGGTTTAGTCCGCATTTCTAAAATGCATAAAAGAAGTGTGATCAAAGTCACACTAACAGAGAGCCTGGTAAAGATATTGTGGATGGTGGTTATGCAATAAGACGTAGCAGCTTGCTAATATTTAGCTACAGTTAGAGCTGTCTGAGTAAAGTATGGCTGAAAAATATAACTGTAAAACTGTGGATCTAATCAAAGTTTCTCTTTTTGAGGCTTTTCTCTGATTCTGCAGTTTCGGCTGAGTTTTTTCACACAGATAATAACCAGGTATAAAAAAAAGTTACTCTGTGAAATAATTTGTCTTTTAGATTGAGGGTTTTCTTTGATATTTTGTGACCTACATTCAAAATGTCATTGTATGTCTAACATGTTTTCACCATAATATTATTAATGTGATATCAGTGGTTGAACTGGAACAAAACAGAAGTGAATTGAGACTGACAGAAACACACACACATATAGGAGCCATTTTCTGTGGCAGAGGCTGCTTCAGTCTCTTCCTCCTTTTTCTGTCAGCCCTTTCATCTCTTCTGTGATGTGAAGCCGTCTTTCAGTCTTCCATTGCTAATGTATTGAGTATTGTCCTATTGTTAGCGTTACAGTATTCTGAGTTCCTTTGTGTGTGCGGCTGTCTGCCACCGGAACACCGCACTGAATCCTGATCGGCGTCATAGTGTGGTGGTGGCAGGCTCTTTTCATTGGTTTTCTTTTTGCTGTGCAATTATTGGAATAATTCTTCTTTGTTCTGCTGACAGACCAGTTAGTTAATTAATGGGGACCACAAAGGACGTGCCAATTTTTTAATCAGCGGGGAGGAGTCGAAGAGGTCTGTTTTATTTGCTGTTGTCCGGTTGGGCGGGACGATCATCTGATTAGATTAGATTTAATTAAGACACAGAGAGGCCTCTGACTGCATGGTGCATGCGCCTGCTGGTTGTTAGGCATTCAACGGCAACTTCATGAAGCTCACACATGCAGATGAATACTCCCTGAGATGCTGGAAAAAAAAAGAAATATTTGTATATAATTTTTTTTTTTTTTTTTTTACAGCAAGCCTGCAAGGACTGCAGCTAGTCGACTCCATTATTGATCTTTTTTTTTGTTGCGAACCATTTCCTTAGTATCATTGCTGTTGTCCTCCTGCTTTGTTCTAATTCTTCTTAAAAACCTGAAAAATAGCAAGGGCTGTTGTTAATATACGGAAGAACCTCGAGATATGAGTTTATTCCGTTCCACAACAGTTAATTAAATTTAAATTCCCCCCATGTAAACATCAAAAACATAGATATAAACAAAGATATTGATAATATAAAATAATAATACTGTAATTGCCAATGAGCCACACACTCACAATAATGATAAAAACAAAAGAAAATTCAATTCAATCATCATAAAAAAAAAGGCTGCCAACTTTCCCAGCCCTAATTCAAATCTAAACGTATCACTTGTTCGTATTTGTGTTTGTTTGACTCAGTTTATTTATATCAATAAACACAAAGGAGTTGGTGAAGTCATTAAAGACAGCCTTAGGATTTGGCTTCATGTTTGGGTCTTTTCATGGCAACGTATTCCTGATTCTGTGCATTAGGGTCTACAAATACGAATGCTCCGAGGCAGTGTATAGAATATGAAAAATTAACTGATGCAGTGGGATGGGGTGAGATGCAGGGGAAGCAGCGTGTAAATTAATTTCGATTTTAATAGTATTTTTATTTGTTCAAGAGTGTGAAATTGCCCTGATTTGTTATTTTCTTCTTTTCTCTTCAACCAGAAATACAGTGATTAATATAAAAGTGCAGTGGAGTTTCGAAGTAAAAGCTGAGAATGAGTCGACTTGACAATAGTCCTACAGTACCTCCCCAAGGTACCCTGCAGGAACAGTGTAGGAACTACTGTTCTAATGAGAGTTTTGAGCTATCACAGAGGCACACGGAGATTTGCACCCTCTAAGGCTTTAGTGTGAGTGGAAATAAGACAGTTTAAAATACTGAAATGCAACCAATTCCTCATTAGCATGGCCTCTCTGTATATCAATAATGAATGTGTTCACTTCCATTCACCCCATCTCTTTGTGTGTCTGCTGGAAAGCAGCTGGGTCGTCACTTTAACTAGCTTTATCTGAAGTGATGACACTACTTTTTCTTGTCAAATATTCGAGTACAACTGTTTAGGTGTCGATCCTTCATCTCCGCTCAGACGTGAAGCTACGGTGGTGTTTAATTCTTCCCTCACAGTCAGGGCAGTGACTCGGCCTCTTCATGTCTCACACTCCTGGCCACAGCTCTGCTGAACGTCCTCAGGACTACTAAGTAGTTTGCCGCCTGCCCTTTTCTTTGTGATAAACATGGTGGACTGTAAGCTGCAGTCGGTTCTGTGGCAGGTACTTTACTACAGTGATGAGTTATACAAAAGTCATAGAGGCTTTGAATGTCTGAGGCTAAAATTGAGCTGGTCTGTTCCATCCGTACTACGGTATATCTCTTAAATAAACCAAATCATTAAAATTACTCAACATGAAACATCAGTGACAACTGGGTATCTATTAGGGATGTCCGATGTAGGCTTGGTAATACTTACAGTATTTATATATCTGTACAAACCACTGTATGAGTATGACATTAATTAAATGAGCTGCAATGCTGCCATCTGGTGACTTTCTCTTTAACATACAGCTGTTTATCCCCAAAACTGTTTTTAGGGCACACATCATTTGGCGAAATCCAGGCATTGTGTTATCGGGTTTTCATTATTAGAGGAAAAACCCATAACGATTATTACAGATATTACATAATATGCTAATATCGGGCCGATATTATTGGACATCCCTAGTAACTATGTAGCAGTAGTAACTAGTAAAAAGATTTTGGAAACCTTTTCCACCAGTCAGAGCTCTGTAGTCTTTTCTTAACAGTTTTAAATACATTCCAAAAAACAGTGGTAACAATAACTTTCTTGATGTGGTCAACAACATGTCAAAGCCTTTCTATAAATGTTAAAACTTCTCAAAGCAATGAAAACTTTAAACAGATGACTAAGATATTTTTCTGGAAATGGTTTTATTCTACTTTCTTGTTTGTTTGTTTTTTTTTTCAAATGTTTATTGTCTGGTCTTCATTTTAAATCTAATTCATTTATGACTTGTTGGTTTGTTGTTACATGAAGATATTCTCCTTTGTTGAACACAGTTCTACTTTCCTTCAAAACATGAATTTAAACAATTACAGTTAAAAGAAAATAGTGAGCAAAGCACAATCCAAGTGCGCAGTAGCAGCCTAGTCACAAATTAGTGTTTTTCACCTTGATGTGTACACTGTCAAACAGACGTGGTCATTTGAGGTCACCACTCTTACAAAGGAGAAGTGGGCGGACTGGATGTTTCAATATTTGCTGAGCCTTTGTTCATGATTTGCTGCCAGTGGTCATGGCGTAGCTGCACCACAGTAACCTTACTTGGCTCTCAATGTTTTTTATGTTGTGTTTTCATCTCCAGAAGCGACTGCCTCTATTGAATTATATGGACTGCATTTCAAAATGAACCAGTAAACAGTTTACTGCTTGATATTCACAGCCATATCCACTCCACTCCTCTCTTTGTTCCTGCTGGCTCTGCAATTCTTTTACACTTTCTGCCACTTACCAGGGCTCTTTTAACCGACTAAACCTTTCCCCATCCTCACTTACATCTATCTTTGAATCCCAACAGTCACCTACATCAACCCCTGCCCTCCCTTTTACCACCTTCATTTTCTCTGCAGAGTCGCCCAGCCAGAACTTTGTGACCCTCGACTACAGTCTGCGCTACTACCCCAGCATCACCTACGCAGTCATTGGCAGCGCTGTCATTTTTGTCTTGGTGGTAGTGTTGCTTGCCCTGGCGCTCCATCACCAGAGGAAGCGTAGTGTCCTGTTACCCAGAGGTGTCAGGGAGGGCTCACACCATCACCACCACCATCACCAGCCTTTGCTACTATCCCGTCTTCTGATCTTGGATCGAGGACACATGCACCACAATGGTCCTGTTGGATCTCCCACCTCATCCACTGTGACAGGCCAGTACAGCTCAGCCACTCAGGCACTGCATCTGCTGTCAGGAACTCTATTTCCCACCGGATCCTCCATGGACTCACCCCCCTCGTACTCACAAGCTGTTCTGGATGCCAGGTAAAAATGATGTGGGCCGTGGTAACAATAAAATGTACGTGTCTAAAGCAGGGGTTTTAACTCCCGGCCTGTGGGTCACTTTCAGCACGTGAACCACCCACGTGCAGCCCGCAACTAGATGTCAGTATAATTACCCCCTATTTGTTCACCCTTCAATGAGAATACGAGGATAACAGTGGCCCCCAGTTCATTTGGGTTTGAGACCCCTGGTCTAACACCAGGAATTAATTTTGATCTACATGCTAATGTTATTAGAAAATTATGGTTAGACTTCCATGTCACACTTACATAACAACCCAGTCATATTATTTGGGATTGACCAACGGTTTGGATGTAGCTCCACATTTATTTTATTTTCCCAAATGTCCAAGAATATTTGAAAGAAACTCAGTTCCTGACCTCAGACAAGTCAAATATTTGGTGAGAAAGATGTCCCGCAGAATTTAAAAAAGAAGAAATTCTTTGATTAAAACACTACTTGAATAAATATCTAGACCTAAATGCAGGATATGTAGACAAGCTTTAAGCTTTATTGTTTTTAATTTTTAAACGTAGTGAGAGTTGAAGTGTTCTAATAATTAGTCAGAAAAAACTTTGTCATGTGGGTGAAAGTAAGAAGTTATTATGGCCTTATTTGTAAACACAGGTAAACCTCTTCTTGATTCGCACAAAGCCTGGGTCAGAGGTCAACAACCTCTGACTCCTGTAAACATTCATCACGTAACTGTCCATGGAGCGACTTATGCAACAAAAAATAGCCAAGTGGTGGATTGTTTTTACTTGAAAAATTATTTAGAATCTCAGTTTAGGCTGCAACTTTATTTCTGTGAAATATTACTCAATGTATTTGTGAGTATATGAGGTCATTCAGAATAGTGTAGTGGAACAGTGGTAAAACATTCACCTGCCATATGGGTTAGATTCCACTCACTGCGTAAAGGTCTGACCTCAGTCAGGAGTAAAATATACAGTATGTCCAATCACTATCCAGAGTACTTCTGCTGTGACCCTTAATCAGTAATAAAATAAATAAAACACAATAAAATCAATGTTCAAATCATCATCATTTTTAACACACATATGCTATAAATAAAATTACAATATGGATCATAAAATATTGATAGAAAAATTTTAATTAGTTTAATTTGTCAGGCAAAGATGGGGAAAAAACACAAGTTAATTTACTGATACACAAACTGAAACTGTGTTTTTATGCAAAATGAGAATAGATTCCCTCTGCGTTGCAGGTTTTCTTGAAGAAAAAAGCTTCATCAGATAATGATATTATACATTCTTTTATTTCTCCACTTCATGTATCCCCAGTCGACCTCCCTGGTTTGATCTCCCTCCTCCCCCATACCTCCCAGAGAGAGACGTTCCATCAGTAGATGAGCTGCCTCAGTACCAGGAGCCTTTGAACCAGCATTCAACACATCCCACTGTGACCTCCACACAACGAACTGCGGCCTCAGGCACACAACTGACTCGATGCTCCACTGACGAGTCAGAGCAGCACTAGTCCAGCTTTTTGGAAAAAAATAATAACAGTGAAACTGGAAACGGCAGGACTGAAGGATGCTGGGTAACCAGAGGCCAAGACAGTTCACAGTCCAAAGCAGATGAGGACATTCGTCCAAGACAGACTATGAGTCATCCTTGACCTACTTTTTTATATCGCCTCTCTAAGGTATTGGACAAAGAGAACCTTTTTCAGAAACACTGAGCTTTTACACTACTACGCTGGCTCCCCCTGTCGGCTTAAAGGATGTACTGCAGCAAGACAACACTTCCAATAAGTGTGCGTTTCCAAAGAAGGACAAACTGCCTTTTACATATAATATATAAATATAATGATATAATCATAAAGTGTGGCTTGAATTGGTAGCACATTAAATGAACTGTTAAATGCCAGTTGGAGTGATGTTAGGTTTTTAGATCTCTACGGCAGCATTTGGAGAATTGTTTTGAAACTGGTATGACTTTTTGTCATTTCTCTCCTATAACATTGCATTTGACATATGTCATAAAGGCTCACTGAACACATTTTTAAAAAACAATCATCAATGTGTTAAACAAAGTAAATTGACTTCCTGGCCTGCTAATGATATTTAGTGTTAGGTTTTCATTTTACTATACATTTAAACTACAAATGTAAATATAAAAGCAAGTCCCTGTGCTTCAACCTATCTAAAAACAAGCTTACAGTCAGTAGACAATAGCAGATAACAAACATGAGCAGAAATTCTAATTTAGGGAAAAAAATGTCTCTGAGGTCACCAGAAATTTGTGATGTCCAAAAATGGGGTCACAAGCCAAAAAAGATTGGGAACCACTGGTTAAGTCGTTTGTGCCTTCAATTATTATCCCTATATTTCAAGAGAAGAGTTCTAATTTAAAAGAACATTTCAATTCTAGTGTGAATAAATATTTATGTATGGCATCAGGAAGACTAGACTGACTAAAGAGTTCAACAGACTGGTGGATCTGTGTTCATGTCAAAGTTGTCATTGTCACATTGTACATATGTACAGGACAAACACATGTAATAAAATAGAAGTAGAAAATGATTTTGAAGCTTAAAGTGTTAACTAGAGTTCACTTGTTTCATCTTACATTGTTTTAGAGGCAGGCTGTGAAAATACAGACAATGTTCAACCAATGCTATCATTACTCAGCTTCTTGTACACCAGGCAGGTAAGTTTTTTTTTCTTTTCTTTTTTTTTTTTTTTTTCTTTTTGCTTTACTTTAGAAAAGTTCTCAGGAGGAAAAAACACATTGTGGTCTATAGTCAAAGTATGGTTGGACTTACATTTCATTCATCTTTTCAGATTTGTTCATAGACATATTGTCATATTTTTTAATGTTGCACCTTCATGATCTGTCATTTTTGTCTTTTTTGTTTGTTTGTTGTTTTGTAAGTTATATTAAGTGCTGTCCGTCTGTCCATGTCTCTTGCTGGTAATGCTGTACAATCAGAATGTGCTTATTAG